CAAGGTGGAGATTTGTTGAATGCCTTGAATCGGACCCGCTACAAACAGAAAGGACGGGGGAAACCCTATTCTGTAATATATATATAGACGCTATGGGAAACCCTATTCTGTAATTCTGTTTTTGCCTCTCCATAATAAAACTGCTCCCTCTCTTTCCGTGGACGTAGCCAATTTATTGGTGAACCACGTAAATCTGTTGTCTTGTTTTTGCGTTTATATTTTCTCGTATTATCTCAAATTCCGCACAACAGAAAACATTACCCAAGTCATTTGGAACTCATTGATGAAAATCATTTTGAAAAACAATTAAATATTAGTCCAAATCACCATTTCACTAAATTCATAGGTTCTTAAAGAAAACCCCAAACTAATCATTTCAAAACCTAGATATGAACACTTAAATTTATAAATAACAATGTGTATATAAATAAAGATTTAAGATTAGAAATCGTTATCCAAACATTTGTATCAAAAACCTTGTTCAAAATCGCCACAACAAAGATCTCAAAACTAAAATATGGTGAAACAGAGTTGAAACCACAATTTTTAGAAGATATTTTGTCCAGGGATCCTCCGCAAACACGGACCCCTGTTCGCCAATGTGGATGGATAGCTCCTAAAATAGCTCCGCTAACACACCCCTACCTCCACGAACACTGAGGTCAGCACACATTAATCCCCCACGAACCGACCAATACTTCACAAATGTGGGGGCCCAGTACACTATTCTATGCGAATGCGGTCACAAGCTCCGCGAACGTGAAGAGTTGATACCAGCAACACATATGAGAAAATCAACCAACACAAAATCCTCCAAATGGATACTCGATAAGAACCATGTACACATAATTCATATATGCAAATTCAATATACTCGATATTTAGGACCTATCAAAACCATAGAAATACGAATCAGAGGTACCGTTGACCCAGAACTCGTGAAAGTCACAAGAAATGAACATAATACCTAAAAAGGACAAATCAAGTTCAGTACCTCTACAGATTCAATCATCACCACACCTAGGCCTGAAATCATCCCTCCGAGTCCAAAGAACTCTCAAAATACCGATTAGAGTATCCAAACCCCAAATGTTGACAAAAGTCAATCCAAAGGTTAAAATTTCATAAATATCCAACTTAGGTTCAAAATCCTCAAACAACTCCGAGTATAAAATCAACAACTCTCATAGACCAAATTCCATAGTTTCGGACTAATGGAATCGACGGAATTTCATTCTCACACTCAAAACTTTAAAAGACATAAAAAATCACTTTTTAACAACTTTAATCTTTTGAACTCAGAACTTACGAAAGCCCACAACTTTCTACCTAAAGTTTCGAAACAACTTTCACAACTTAATGAGAAATAACTCGAGGTCAATATCGGGAGGGAAAAATAGTAAACTATCAAAAATGACCAACTGGCCATTACATTCACTTGGGATCAACAATAATGTCCAAGTGTCGATCATGTCCGATGTGTAGGCTCATAGCATGACACAAACTTTCTTCCATAATTTTTATAACATATATACGTCTCACTAATCAAATTTTATTCTCAAGTAACCCATAACCTGCCTCAGTGCCAGACTACTGTCTTATTAAAAATACAACAAACATAAGTTTAAACTCATGGTTTCGAAAGTACAAGGGGTTCAATACTAAGAACATAAACGATTGAGTTCACCTAAAAGTGTTCAAGAAAATTTAATACATCAATTAATGTAGTACAAAACCCTTGGCTAGCTACTTTAACATTAGATAAGCTCTTCCATCAATAGGTGACAAGTTCCTGTATCATATAATACGTTTATTAATAGTATCCTTTGCATAAACAGAAATTATATAACTATTGTTTTTCAATCTTAGCTAACTAATTTAAAAAAATTAAAAAAACAAACAGAAAGTAATAGTATTTACATTTACATGTATATATCTCCAAGTTTTAAAGCAATTTGAGGCTATATAGTTTCGTCCAATATGAGAGCTCTTAAATCATCATCTGTTATATTCTGAAAGATAGATGTAGAGAAAGATAAATATGTAAGAAAACAAACATATAAACAACAACAATATATACCAATGTAATTTCATAAATGAAATCTATGGAGGATAGGATCGTCTAAACGAGTTTAGGGGCCTAAAATAAAACTTCACAAAGAGGCCTTTATAACATACGCAGTTTAATCCTATACATGGGGTTGGAGAGGTTGGATATAAGCGAAAATTAGGAATTAAGAATGTAAACATGAATGTAAAGTTTCAAATAATAAAAAATATAATATAAGGTTAGAATAATAAATCTTGACTCAAAATTTTGATAAGTTTATATAATGGTATTAAAACAGTATTGTGCTGAATTTGATAGGTTGATATAATGATATTAATATAGTATTGATTAGTTTTATGTTTCAAATTTGAAGAAGACACCAAAAAATAAATTTGATCTGTTTATGAACACACAACAATAGATTTTGCATAATGTGGAAGGTTTGACTGTTTGAGATGCTTTAAAATATTCAATTATGAGAAATAAAAACAATGAAATGAAAATAAGAAAACTATATATAAGAATTTTGGTTCATGATAATCGTCAGAATATGAATGAGACAACAATACGGATAGTCAGATAGAAATGATGGTACGATTAACTAACACTATTCCATTTCTCAATTGATCCCTATATAAGGTAGAAAATTATTATATTTTTTATCAATTTTTTTCCTATATATATATAGAGAGAGAAAGTAGAGACCCCAAAATAAATCGAAGCCCCAAGCAATTGCTTCAGTAATCTTATTATCAAGACAACCCTAATAAAGAATAAAATATAAGCAGATCTTGTTTCTACTTTCGTGAAGTAGAAAAGTTATTTTTGACATATACTTAGTTTGTCAAAAAACAAAAGAATTAAAAGTATGAAAATAAGAAAACATGACAACAATATAGGAAGAAGCAAAGCGAATGTGAGCAATAGATAATAATGCATATAAAAAAAACAATTTGGTACCTAAATAATACTATTAGTAATGAGAAGCATAGTCGAGGCCGTCTTTTTTCCTCTCCCATATACATAATACGATAATACTCTTAATTTTTTTTCTTTTAAGTAAGGGTGTAATAGAAAGGAAAATGTTTTTCCAGAAAAATCTTCTTACAAAACAAGTGAAATTTTAATTTATAAATATATTTCGTAATATATCTATTTTTAACTTGAGACTAGAAAATACTCGGGGGGGGGGGGGGGGGTTGGGGATGGCTAGGGTAGGGATAGCAAAAAATATTTTTCTGGGCACCAACACACCCCTAAGTATCATCAATAAAACAAAATTGAGTGTTCCACTATAAGAACATCAACAATTTAATTCACCTTTTTCCCCTCAGCCAATGACTTGAACCGCCAAAAGAGGTCCCCAAGTTGCTTTTCCTCAAAACTATATCCAAGCTATGACAAAATAAAATGAGTGTTGTTAATGCACATTTATATATAATAATATCATAATTTAGTTTATTGAAATCTTAGTATATGTACTATACCTCAAGCATTTTATTTTTTAATGCATGACGTCCACTGCACAAATAATATTAGCCATATTATTGCAATTCTACCTTCTAAATAGTAAAAATGTTTTGAAAGCTTTTATCAAAGTCCAATATATGCAAGTCTGCACTATAACATGTTTTAACTTCTATCCACGACTTTTACATGATATTTGTTTTAGAAAAGAAAACCAAAAATCTATTGAGTTGTACCGACAACAACAAATTCAATGGAATTTCTTAAGTAGAGTCTGTAGAAGGAAGAAGGTACACAGACCTTATTCCTATCTCGTAGAGATAGAGAGATTAATTTCGATAGACTATTGATTCAAGTAAAGCATTTCAAAGCAATTTGAAAAGAGAGTGCAAAAATGAAAGCAATAAGAACAATGCAATAAAGCGAAAAGAATAGTAATAACAATAGTGCATCGTACCGATATCAAAAAATCAAAACTATTGAGACGGTTTCAAAAAATGTAATTTGGGTCATATAAAATTAACAAAAAAAATAAGGAAAAGTAACAGAAATTTCACTTTTAAGTTCTCTTATTGTACCTATTAGTTTTATAAATTTCCAGAATTTTTCATTTTCGCGCATCAGATTAATGTATCAGCGCATCAGATTAATATATCTCACGCATCATATCAATGTATCAGCACATCAGATTAATGTATCTCGCGCATCAGATTATTGTATCGCGTATAAAATGTACATCAGTTCATATATAAAATGTAATGTATTTTATTTAACAATTAATTAATTTCGAGCATCAGATTAATGTATCAACGATATTGTATAAGTTTGAGGGATTTCTATAATTATAAATTTATAAGGGACAAATAATAATTTGTCTTAAGAGTATGTGATTTCTATCATTTGCCCAAAAATATCATGATATAAATAATTGATCGAACTGAATCACAACGTTATTATAATCAATGCGTACCTGAGTTTTCCTAATTTAATACCATGTTTAGTAGCACGAATAAATCCAACATCTTCAGCAGATATAAATTCATATGTTCCTCTGTTCTTTAACATTCCATCCTAAATTAAATATATAGAACAACACACATAAAAAAATAGAATAAATTCAAATACCTTTTTAATTAGTTTAATAGGCTTTACACACATAGTTTTCTATGCTTTTTTTATTTTTACAACTAAATTCTTAAGATATTTAAATTGGGCGCAAAAATACCACATGTTCTTATTTAATTTGTCATTTTGTTGTGTCATCCATAATTTTATAATATACATTTTAAAATTTTGGCCAATTCTTATAACTCACCTTGGATTCATCTTTATTTCTTAGTCTATCTGTTCAAACTCAGACTTTCTAGACTTTGATTCCTCGTTTTGTAAATAAATATGTCATATTAGGATCAGAGGCGGATTCAGAATTTTCATTCAGGGTGTTTGAAAAATAAAAGTATGAATGTGTAAATAAGCCAACAAAAGTTTTTCAAGGAATGTCACAAATAGTTTCAAAGGAACTTTTCACTGGACTATCTCATTTTTCTTGTCATCAAGGGGGTTTAAAATATATATATTCACATAAATACAGAAATTTTACCGTATATATACGATATAAATTTTTACCGAGAGTGGGTTCGGGTGAACCCCTTGGATTAAGTATGGGTCCGCCCCTGATTAGGATAGGGTCGACTCAACAACATTAGGGCATAAAGTGAAATTTAAGAAAGGATCTCTAATGTTTAATTTTTTTCATCATATATACTTTTATTTAAAATCTAATTTTCTAGCTATTTTAAATGCAAAGTCATTAGGTATTATTTTATTATCAATTTGTTTTAAAATTTTCTTTTTCAAATGATTATATAGCTAATTCATTCGATCTTTTTTAAGACATTGTTAATCTTAAAGAAGATTTAGAGCCCATTTAGATTGTCTTAAAAGTCTGTGAAACTTACTTTTAAATCAATTTTTTTACTTTTGGAAGTGTTTCACATATAAAAATTAACTTGAACCAAGTTTAAAATGATTTAAAATAAGTTATGAAGTGTTTAACTAGATAAAAGATGACTTAAAATAAGTCAGAAACAAAAAGTAGGTCTCCCCTTACTTTTTATTTTTGGCATAATACATTAAATGTATCCTTTAACTTGGCTTCAAATCACATTTTTGCTCTTCAACTTTGGATGTGCACAAATAGACACTTAAACTTGTATAAAGTTGAACAAATAAACACATATTTCCTACATGTCATCCTTCATGTCATTTTTTGTCCTACGTGGTGTCTTACGTGTATTGTGCCATGTAGGACTCATGTGTTGATTTATTTAAAAGTTGGACAGTTAAAGTGCATGTTTATGTATTATGAAAGTTCGAGACCAAAGTTAAAATTTGAAGTCAAGTTTAGAGTCCAATATATGTATTATGCCTTTAGTTTTTGACTTAACAGTCATTTCAGTTTGACTTTTTTTATTTTTGACTAAAAAACTATCTTTTTTAGACAATCCAAACGGGCTCTAGATCAATTTTAATTCGAAAAAACTTCTTTCAGCTGAGGCAAGGTTACATGAACTGTTAATTATTCTATAAGTAATGTATATTTGGAAAATAATCAATTTTTTTTATTTGATTGAGTATTTTCATTAGATCATTATCTTATACTAGCTAGTATTATTTCCCTGAACACTTTTAATTCAAAAAATAAATGTAAACCATCAATATCAGAATAACTATTACGTGTTAAAGAAAGTTCAACATTAAGACAATATTTTTAAAATTCTCATCATCTAGTGATCTCAATATTTTATCACTAAATAAAAAATCAAAAATATTTTCATATGCTTCAATTGATTCAAATCTATTTTGAAGTGAATAAATTGTTTAATCTACTCTAAGTATATAAACAATCAACTCTAAAAGATTCTTCTTAAGGGAATTTGTGATTTTGTTCTCATCAAATTGTTTCTTATAAAATTCAAATTTATTTCCACTTCATATGTAATTTCCTAGTAGAAACCATAATACTCTTAGTACATATAATTTTGTTTTTAAAAGTAACACATATAAATAATAATTTTTTAAAAAAATAGGACCCAAATATTGAATTGAAAAATATAGTATTCACTAAATAAAATTGACCTGATGAATTCCACTTTCATGAGAAAAAGCATTAGCGCCAACAATGGCCTTATTTGGCTGCAACTTAAGCCCACTATACTCCTCTACCTGAATATACATAACAACAACATTATTATATTCATAATTAATTTTAACCACTAAAATACTATATATATACATACCATGTTGCTTGTTGTGAATATATATTTTGTATTAATCCCAGTATAGACACCACCTAGTACTTCCCCTCCACGATATTTTATGGTCATTACTATCTATACAAAATAGAAATAACAATAATATAAATTAGCTAGGATTAACAATTTATTATATATAAATAATAATGAATAATTTTTACATATAACAAAAATAAAAATTATATATGTATGTTATATATATATATAGTTTGCTATGGAGCTTTTGATTTATATAATTCGCTACATCATCTAATTTTATACAAATTGTTCAGATTTGTATTTGAGCCTGATTGGATTGGCTTTCGGCTTATGACTTATAAGCCAAAAGTTACAGGTTATTTTTGTTATTTTGGCTTTAAAATAAGTGCTTCTAAGCATTTTTTTTTACATTACCCAAAAACTTCAAAACTGCTTAAAAATTATTTTGACTTAAAAACACATAAAATAAGTCAATCCAAATAAGCATTAAATTCATTTATATATTGTAATTGTAGAATAAGATTTGTATTTGCATAAATATAAGTGTATAGGACGAAAATATATGTATTTATATTTGTATACACTTTTCTCTCGTTTTTATATAAACACAAACACATTTTATAGATTTTATACTAAAATATAAAAAAAATAACTAATTGTATACCAAATCACATGGCAAAAAAAATTATTTAATGCAAATTATAATTAAATTAGAATAAATTATGGATATAACATTAAAGGTTATTCTCTCTCACCTCTTCTAGAGAAGCATTTCCAGCTCTTTCACCAATACCATTGATGGTTACATCTACTTGTCTTACGCCTGCACAAATTCCCTAAATTCCATCAAAGTATCAGAGTCAAACTAACGATATGTATTTTTAATAGTCCTATTGCATTTTTCAAAAGTTAATTTGATTAATTTTCAAAATACATTATTTTAGTTAAAATTTTTATCATTTGACTCTAAAAAAAGAAAACCATAATAATTAAAAGTGGACGAAGGGTATAGTTAAAAGCTAATAAATACATACAGCTAATGTGTTGGCAGTAGCAAGTCCAAGATCATTGTGACAATGTACTGCAAGGACCACATTTTGGATTCCTAGGGTGTTGGCTTTTATGTCAACAATTAGTTGTGCAAATTCATTTGGTAAATTGCATCCAACAGTATCAGCCACACAAATGCATGTTGCTCCAGCTTTGATAACTTCTTCAATAATATGGTAAACAAACTCCTTATCAGATCTGACAAAAAATAATAATAAGTAGATATATATATATACACCATATGGTAAAAATATAAATATTACAAACCTTGTAGCATCTTCCAAGCTAAACCTAACATGCTCGAACCCAAGACTTGTTGCATAAGCCACCATGCTCCTTGCTCTCTCCACAACTTCTTCTCTACTCATATTCAATTTATACTTCATATGCATATCACTTGTCGCGATAAACATATGAATCATCGGTGTCTTTGCATACTTCAAACTCTCCCAAGCTCTATCGATATCTTCCTTAGTAGATCTCGCCAAACCACAGATCATCGGTACATATCCCTCTTCATCTATGTTATTACCTGTTTAGACATAGTATAATTAGAAATATTTCACTATAATATATGTATGTATGTATGTATGCATATATATATATATATATATATATATATATATATATATATATATATATATATATATATATATATATGTATGTATGTATGTATCCTAGATACACATGAATCACACTAGATACATGTATCTAGAATAATTTGCATGTACCTGGGATACAAATACATGGAAGAGTGGCGAGGAAGATTTGTCACAGATACATGTGAAATATAATAGTAGTATTAAAATTTGAAATTATAAGATGGAGATATAATTCAAGATTACCAATTTTCTGTGCTACCAACTTTACAAGGTCAAACTCAGCATGGGAGGCAGCTGGAAAACCAACCTCAATAACATCAACACCAAGCTTAGCTAGCTGACATGCAATTTTCATTTTTTGTTTAGCAGTCATGGATGCACCCGGGGCCTGTTCTCCGTCACGAAGCGTCGTATCGAAAATCGTGACGTAGTTAGGGTCAGATAATTTGCCTCGTTGAATATTTGAGCAACGGATATCATAGGAGGATTGAAAATTCCTTTTGATTGGAGGCACACTATTGTTTTTAGAATGTAATGAAATGTAATTGCCAAAGGAATAATTTGCACAGAGAGAAGTCATTTTTTCACTAGAGTTGTCTATGTGTTTGGCTAAGATGGAATAAGCGTTAAAATGGAATAAGGGTAAGATAAACTATATATAAAGTGTCAAAAATGAAAAATTGGGACAAGTTTGAGGAGTTATATGCGTTTGACCAAATTTTTAATAGAGTTGTGTTTGGTGTGAAAGATAGAGTGGGCAAGGTAGGCAATTATTTATGAGTAGTGGACTATGGTTAGAAAAACAAATACATAATATAGATTTGATGGAAGAATCATGCATGATTATTAAGCATGAAAATATGACGTTTGGGATTTGATGGAAGAATCATGCATGATTATTAAGCATGAAAATATGACGTTTGGGTGAATAAATATAAAGGGCAAATACAAAAACATATATCTAAACTTGTTGGGTTTTTTTCCTCAGGTACCTTAACTATGTTATTTTCCGATTGAATCATTGAACACCCATAATTTGTTCCTTTTAAACACTGTTAGCTAATGCAGAACCAGATTTTGTGAGGGGTATTGACACAGGATACATATGTTGTTTCAGAACTCATTAGCCCAATTGATTGTGATACTGTTCGAGAATACTTATGTTTTACTTCAAGTCATTTAAACACATCAGAAAACAAATGAGACTAACACACTATTTGTCTTTATTCATGCACATATTATTAATAAAATTATTTATGTTTTATCATCTTTTTAGAATTGTGCAAAGCACAAACAAATTTACTAATGTAAAATACAGTTTAAATTCATAGTAGTTACCCAATTATATAAAAGTCAAGACGTTGAAATATAGAAGTGTTGCCTTGTTCCTTTGCTCTTGAGAATAGGAAAAAGAAATTAGGAATTAGAATCATGGCAACTAAAACTAATAGAATGAAAATGTCATATGATTTTAGAAAGTTTTTGGCCAAAATATATGTTATAACTTATATGTATTTTAGAATATTTTTATTCTTAGACGCATTAAAGAACTATGTCCTTAAATTGAACATCCATGTTAAAGAATTGAACTTAGGAAAAAATTTGAAAACGACTTAAATTTGGTTTAATCAAATTTTTCAATATTTATGTCCATATCTAACTAAATCTACTCGTAATTGATTATTAAAAGACTCAAATACAATATTTTTTAGATGATAACACTAACTAATTTTATTAAGTATCAAAAACACATTTAAACTACCCTTTTTTTTAGTTTCATACCTGAACTATTGAGAGTATGAGTTTCATACCTAAACTATCATTTTTTTAGTTTAAAAAACGTGATATTACACAGGGATAAAATATTCCATCTTGACAAAATTAAAATAATATACTATTAATATTAATTAAAAATTAAATAATAAAATATTACTATCTATTAAAAAAATTAAACATAAAATTTGAATTATTTTTCTAAAAATAAAATTGATATTATTTTATTTTTTACAAATATAGAAATTCTACCCCTTCCTATGTAACCCTCCGCTCTTAATTTTTTTTATTTTTATTTTTTTACATTTTTTTCATTTTGTGTTAGATATGTACACACATATATTTTTAATAGTGAAAATATAACATAAATAAGTAAAAAAAAATCAAAATGTCTTGCGACAGCAAATAAATAATATTTTTGATATCTATATATCTAACACAAAATGACAAAAAAAAGTTGGAAGAGGAGAGTTAGGTGGGCAATCTAAATTAGTATTGAGGATGGTGGGGGTGGGGGGGAGATGATAATATTCTACATATTATTTTATAAAAAAAAATAATCTCATTTTAAATTTTAACTAATACTAATAATTTATTTAATTCTTGTCAAGGTTGAATGTTTTGTTCATGTGGACTGTGATGTAGAAATTTTTAAAAATAAATGAGAAAGTGTATTACGCACAACATGATGAGAGTGGTATAAAAAGAAATTGGTGTTTCTCAATCTAAAAAATGATAATTTAGGTATGAAACTCACACTCTTAATAGTTTAAGTATCAAACTTTAAAAAAAAGGTGTTTTGAAGCTTATCTCTAAATTTAACCAAATCAGTTTTAAACCTACGTAATGAATTAATATATATTTCACAATAAAACTATAATATTACATTCACACGGTGGCAAAACCTTATAAATAAACATAAAAAGAAGAGATGTATTGTCTCGTCGAATCTTGAGTATAAAAAATCTCCTTAGTGGGAAGTTTACCATTCCCATGGAGCCTTGCTCGTTGTGAATTCATATATAATCAGACTCCAATGTCAACACCACGTACAATATAGAAAATCAAAAAATATATAAATTATAAGAATAATATGTAACTTTGCGTGACAATCAAAGTTGACGTTGTTCTCACCTTATTAATATTCTATTATAATTGATATAACTTCCATAAAAAGATCTTATCAAATCATTTTAACTCCTGCCAAATTAGACGACATAAAATTAGACATCTTTTTCGTTGTCTATTAAAATACTACTAGTTAATATCAAATCAAATCCAAAGAAATTTATAAAGAGAATGAAAAAATTAATGGAAAATTACAATATAAAATTAGACATCTTTTCTATTAACTACTAAAATAGTATTAGCAAATCATAAAATCAAATCCAAAGAAAATTATAAAAAGAATGAAAAGATTAATGGAAAATTAAATAGTAGTGTCAATCTGTAGGACCTTAATATTTTGGAGGTCGAAAAGCATTAATTCATAATTTAAAATTGTAAATGTTGTCGCCAATTATTATAGCCTTAATTTAAGGAAACGGTTAAGAGTTATTAGTCAAAATTAAAAATTAAAATTTTAAACGTTCTCTTTCCCAAAATTTAAAAAATCAAAACTCATTATGTAAGTAAATGGTTAAGAGCTACTAATACGTTCTCTTTCTCAAAATTTAATTAATTAAAATCCACTAATTATTATAGTCTTAAAAATTGAGAAAATTAAATAATATCTAATTAAAATCAATTTATGTCTGAAAAAAAAAGAAATTTTTTTCCAAAAATCTGAGAAAATAAATAAATAGGCTTCCTCATTATTGAGATATGCTACATCAGCAAGCTAAAGATCCAGTCTTATATTAATATATAGATTGAATGTGAAGAAGTTCACTCATGCTATTCATTTCCCCTCATAATTAGTTCACGTTCCTACAAGAAAAATATTTGACAAATAAAATTTTATTTTAAATATATAATTTTTAGTAATTAAATTAAAGAACGTTATTAATTATGTGAAAACAATACAAAATCTCAGATAACAATGAACGAAGTAACACGCTACCCGTTAATCAAAACAAATTCAATTTTTCCCTTGTTATAAAATGTCAAAAACATATATAGTTTGGTTATTTTCATCTTATAATCTAATTTTAATCTTTACAAAACCTACTTAGCTCTACTGAAGCACTAGGAAAGAAACATATGTAAATTTTTAATTGTAGTGATAAATTCAATTACTCATTTGGGAGGGGTTATGGAAGGGGATTATATGAGAAGTAAGCCTTATTCTAAATCAAATTATTCTTTATATGCCTAATCAATTAACTTAACTTGTTAAAATTTTTACCACTCACTTAATAGGATAACAAGACATCTGGTTTAGCCAGGGATGCCGATACCAAATTTTTCCACACGCCTCCACCATTAATAGAAACAAAATCTGTAATCGTAACAAAGATTTTCACGATCCAAAGTACACCTTAGACGTGACATGATTTATGAGAGTCTAAGAGGCCCTATACAAGTCATTTGACATACCTATACACAATATAATAGACAAAAAGTATTAAATCTCATATGAATAGAAGAATTTCACATTTAAAAGAGGAAATCTCATACTCATGAAAAGTCATCTAGTACATCAAAGAAAGTGGTCGCAACGTAACCCATCCATCATGTACATCATCCGAAAAGTAAAGACATAAGAAAGCAATAAATGCAGCATAATCCTTGGAGTATGAGGACTCGCCACGTCTTCAAATCCTTGAAAAATCACTAACTAGCTACGAGCGGAGGGAGAGGAAGTGCCATACCCTAGCTACATTAGTGAAACACTATAGGCACTAGTATGCATTAGTACATGAAATGTACTAAATATGAGGGACATGCATAAAAACACGAAATATTATCATAAATGGACATAATTGAAAATATTTATGTGCATGACCAAGCTAAACTTACATGAGCCTTTAAATAAACATCATAAAACTTGAACATGTCAATGCATCTTTGATCATAACGAAAGCTTCATAAAACCTTTGAAATTAACTTAATTAGTTTTAAGGGATATTAGTTTTAACCGATAATAGATCATGTGAGCTATGCTATAGAATCCTATGTAACTCCCATATCGAGAAAGGAGAGTTTACTTGTCAAGATAGAACTCCGTATAATATCATATTTTATATGTGGATCCACTAGCTAGGACACTTAAGGCATTCCTAGGGGAGCAAGTAGTTTGGAACTAGAGGTTGCTACTAGACACTATCCTATTTTAGCATCCACCTCAAAGTTCTCTCGGTGCTAAGTTACATCTCTACGGAATAGTAATTTTCATAAGCATATCATCATACATTTGGAAAACAAAATTAATTTAGCAATCCAAGCTTAAAACCTCATAGAGTAGCTCATTAAATCTTGAATCAAGTTGTCACATCCCACAAGTACACCCTAGAAGTTAGAGTATCATTGCGATGTCACACGGCAAATGAGACTTCAAGAAGTCTCATCTAAGCCTCTCGTATCATTCATTGCATAATAAGAATAACTAAAATGAGTAAAAATTAAAACTTTCTTCACACACGAAGAACTCTTTCATAAACAATACACAAGCGGGAGACTTTCATTTAAAACATTAGAACTATACAACATCTCAATGAACCATCTAGATTTTAGAGTTTACAACACTTGAGACTAATCTCATGCAAGACATAAAATAAAGACTTAAGACATAAAGGAACATGTGGCTATTGTCCTCGAATCGATGAGGACTCACGAATACTTCATCTTCAACCCTTAGAAACCTATTCATCCTTCATGGCACATCAAGATTTCATTTCCCTACACTTAAGTCAAAAAGTAAAAGAAGAGGTTAGCACATTAGATGTACTAAGTATGGAAGCCATGAAAAAGGGACATTTAGTAAATAGCATGCTTTTCATGAATTTTGATTAAAACATCATACTATAAGCATAAGAACAACATTTAACAACTTAGAAACACATAAGAAATCATTTAGGCAAAAAGTCACATTTTAGCAAACATTACAGTGAAGTCACTTCACTGTACAGTGAACTCAATTAAGTGTTACAGTGAAGTTCCTTCACTTCACTTTAAACCCCCTTTAGCATATAATCTTCTCACTCAAAGTTATCCTAAGATTCACTTAAGTCACACAAAGAGAGACCGCCCATACACCCTCTCTAGATGTGCCTAAACGACCCTCAATAT